AAGAAAGGATTGTTGAAAGGTGCAAAGGCTTGAAAATTGAACTTTTGCGAGCATTGTGTTCTAGGAAAGCAGAAGAGGGTGACATTTGGTACCACTATACATAATACAAAAAGGTATTGTGGATTATATTCACTCGGATGTATGGGGTCCTTCAAAGATATCGTATTTGGGAGGAAACCATTATTTTGTAACTTTTGTAGATGACTTTTCCAGAAGAGTTTGGGTGTATCCGATGAAGTCTAAAGATGAAGTGCTTCGAATTTTCCTGAAATGAAAAAATATGATCGAGAACCAGAATGGTAGAAAGATCAAGCGTCTTAGGACGGACAATAGAGGGGAATATAAAAGTGACCCATTCTTTGATGTTTGCCATGAGTATGGAATTGTTCGACACTTCACTGTTAGAAATACACCACAATAGAATGGAGTGGTAGAACGTATGAATTAAACACTATTTGAGAGAGTTCGATGTATGTTGTATAATGCTAGGTTAGACAAGGCATTTTGGGTTGAGGCTGTGAAATATGTTGGCCATCTCATCAATTGTCTGCCGTCATCGGCGATAGAAGGAAAACACCATTGGAGGTATGGTCTGGAAAACCTACTACTGATTATGATTCCTTACATGTATTTGAATCCACTACTTATTATCATGTAAAGGAATCCAAGCTTGATCTGAGAGAAAAAAAGGCTCTATTTATGGGAATCACCCATGGAGTGAAGGGATTCCGCCTTTGGTGTTTAGACGCCAAGAAGATAATTTGTAGCAGAGATGTTACCTTTGATGAATCTGCACTAGTAAAGAAGGTAACAAATGAAGTTGTCTAGATAAGTAGTACTCCGCAGCAGGTGGAGCATACTCCAAAACAGGTGGAATTTCAACAGACGATGATCCCAGAAGTTGATGTAGCTGATTCTTCAACTCCAATAGAAGAATCAGAAGATGAAGAGGTTCAAACCCAAGAACCATTGGAAACACCAGAACCACTTGCAGTTACAAGGCCAATGAGAGAAATTCGTAGACCTGCTCGATTTGTTGATATGGTGGCCTATGCTATTCCAGTTGTTGATAATTATATCCCTATCACTTACCAAGAAGCAATACAAAGCTTGGAAAGTGATAAGTGGAAAATTGCCATGGATGAAGAAATGCAATCTCTCCAAAAGAACAACACTTGGAAACTGGCACAATTACCTAAAGGTAAAAGAGCAATTGGATGCAAGTGGGTATTTGCAAAGAAAGATGGATCTTATAGCAAGAAATATGTTCGCTACAAGGCACGGTTGGTAGCTAAAGGCTACGCTCAAAAGGAGAGAATCGACTATAATGAAGTATTTTCCCCTGTTGTGAAGCATTCATCCATTAGAATATTGTTGGCCTTGGTAGCATAGTTGAATTTGGAGCTAGCTCAAATTGATGTAAAGACGTCTTTCCTGCACGGTGATTTAGAAGAGGAGATCTATATGACTTAGCCAGAAGGATACAAAGATGGTGGTTGTGAGAAATGGGTTTGTAAGCTGAAAAAAATCACTATATGGATTGAAGCAATCTCTGAGACAGTGGTACAAGCGATTTGATAGCTTTATGAGGAGGCAAAAGTACACTAGAAGCATATATGATCATTTTGTGTATTTGAAAAAGCTAAAAGATAGATCTTTCATTTATATTCTCTTGTACGTTGACGATATGTTGATCGCTTCGAAGAGTCAAAAGGAGATAGACAAATTAAAGGCTCAGTTGAATCATGAGTTTGATATGAAAGATCTAGGTGAGACCAAGAAGATTATTGGTATGGAGATAAGCAGAGAGAGACAGAGAGGGAAGCTTTGTTTAACACAGAAGCAGTATCTGAGAAATGTATTACAATGTTTTGGCATGAATGAAAATACCAAACATGTAAGTATCCCACTGGCTTCTCATTTGAAACTTAGTTCTCAATTATCTCCTAAAACTAACGAAGAACGAGAGTATATGGAAAAAGTTCCATATGCTAATGCAGTTGGGAGCTTGATGTATGCAATGGTGTGTATGCGTCCTAACATTTCACAAGTAGTTAGAGTTGTGAGCAGGTACATGCATGATCCTGGAGAAGGACATTGACAAGCTGTGAAATGGATTCTACGGTATCTCCAACAAACCATGGATGTTGGTTTAGTTTTTGAACAGGATGAAACACTTGGTCAGTGTGTGGTTGGATATGTTGATTCCAACTATACTGGTGATTTGGATAAGCTTCGATCAACTACTGGGTATTTGTTTACTTTTGCTAAAGCCCCAGTAAGTTTGAAGTCTACTTTGCAATCTACGGTGGCTTTGTCTACTACAGAGGTAGAATACATGGCAGTTTCAAAAGCCTGTGAAGGAAGCAATTTGGCTTAACGGGTTGATGGAAGACTTGGGAGTTGTTCAAATTCACATTAATCTTTATTGTGACAGTCAGAGCGCTATTCACTTAGCGAAAAATCAAGTCTACCATTCAAGGACTAAGCATATCGACGTGAGGTATCACTTTGTGTGGGAGATCTTTGAAGAAGGAAAAATTCTACTTCAGAAAATTGCGACATCAGAAAATTCTGCAGATATGATGACCAAGGTGGTAACAGTAATCAAGTTCAATCATTGTTTGAAATTGATTAACATCCTAAAAGTTTGAGCACCATCGGGTGTATAGCGCTTGTGAGCGCAATTAGAGGCACTACATTAAAAGAGCTTCATGAAATTTGGGGAGTTGAAGAATTTGAGTAAGCTTGGTAATTTCAAGCCAAGACAAGGTGGAGATTTGTTATGCTTGGCTTGAAATATTAGCAAAGTTGAAAGTTGGCAAAATTGAAAGTTGACAAAGTTGAAAGTTGGCAAAGTTGACATCTTTGGTTGGTGGCTTACTTGTACACATTGGAAAATTATTTAGTAGGTGGCCAACTTATTTTTCATCTTTGGTCCCTAAAATATTAGGTTATTTATAAGTTTAGTCCTTAAAATTCAACTATAAATAAGCCTAATTATTTCTTCATCAGAAATCATCCCAAAACAAGTTATCTCTTCCTCTTGTTTTCTTCATTCTCTCACTTTGGGAATTCTAATGAATTCCATTTGTTTTAATATTTTTTGATAGTGAAGTTATCATCCGGTGTGGTACCCGAGGAGTAGACGATATTCTTGTCGAACCTCGTAAATTTGGTGTGTTCTCTCCTTTATTGTTTTTTATTCGGTTTTTCCATTGTGTTTCAATATTCAATAGTTTGACGGGTTTATCCGCTGTGCAACCTTTGGTGGTTTTGATCTTGACATTTTAGGTAAATTTTGAAACTACGTTAATATGGGAAATAACTCGGTTTCCCCAACATAGGTGACTTAAGGTCAACTGTTTGGAGAAGACGATTATGTTGCAGCAAAAGGGACAATATTTCTGGGTGCACTAGAAGACAAACAAGCAAGATATTTATTGGTAGCAGCACATATGCCACCCTTCCAGTTATGCCCCACACGTGAAAGGTATATTCCCTTAGAAATTGGGGCACAAAACCCTAGGAGACTCCGCTATATAAAGAAAATGACACCACATTTATGGCAAGAGGAAAAAGTGTGAGATAAGAAAGAGAAAAGTGAGAGATGGTTCTTTTATTTAACCTTATTCTATTAGCTTAGTTTCCCAGTAACCTTTTTTTTTACCTAGGTTTCCTCAAAATCCAATCTATTGAAGACTCGTCGGTCGGTTTTGGACGCCTTACCACTAAACACCAACTTCATAGGTGAGTTTCCCACACCCCACATAAGGAGTAAAAAGCCCCATTTTTCGAGGCTCTGGTTTCTAGTTCTTTCTTATGCTAAAAAGAGATCTTTCATTGAGAAGTTGACCCTGGAGCTAAAAGAATTTATTCAGTTGACCGGCAACTGCAACTAAGAGATAAGGTAGTCGTAAACAAAAATTAAGTTTTATGTATGATTTTGAAAATTTAAAAGTTTAGGTATTAAAATAGACCAAAACTGATAGTTTAGGTACTAAATGCATAATTTACCCTTAAAATTATGATTACTTAATTACAAAAAATTTTGTATATATTTGAAGAAAATTTTATTTTTATTTAAAGTGGGCTTTTTGAAACTATTAAGTAGCGTCAATAATTAAATAAAGATTATGAATATATACTATTTGTAATTATTTTAAACTATTCAAAATAAATATAGAAGATTAAAAATTTTGATTGTTGGTTTATTAATATTTTAATCAAAATACTTAATTATTTAACTATGTCAATTAATTATGGCCTCAATATTTCTCTCTCTTAGTTTTCTCTCATTGGTATGTCGTTAATCCTTTTTTTTCATCTTTGTTAATCGGCGATGTCACCAATTTTAATGTTAGTTGCCGATCGTCGATATTCTTTATAGTCATTTATTTTCTTATATCACATATTTAGTTTTTCGTGTTTTCTTATTATCAATAAGTCTACTTATATAACACATTCTTATCTGTTTTTATGACACATGTTGATCTTATGTCTTTTAACACGTTTTTCATTTGGTTGGTCATTGTTTTCACTTATCTTTTTTAGGGTTGATTTGATATCGTCATGACTGATCAAAGATGACACTTATATGTTATATTGTTGATCTTCCCTGCTTTGGACCTCGGATTAGATTTGGGCATCGTTATGTGTTAGCGGATAGCTTTTCACGTCGCTAGAGTTTGATTTGTGGTTTGTCGGTAGTCTTTCAGTAGTTTGATTATCTTTTGTGGTTCGTTAGCCGATGCGATCAGATCTATTTGTATTTATCTTTATTCGAGTTTTTGGTTATGTTTTAATCTTTCATTGTATGGTCCTTATGTGATATTAAGTTGCTAATTTTGTTTCAAAAATTATAAAAAAAGTATCCTAATTATATGCTTAATTCACGATTATAATTGTAAATATTCATTGTGATTTGGGGTATTTCCTATTCGGACTAAAATTAGAGAATTCTATAAAAAAATTATTCTATTAATTTACAGTAGAGTCTTGAAAAGTTTTACATAAATTGAAGTGTACAACAAAATGATGTTGAGCTTTTTAAAGACTCCATTCGTTTCAAAAGAAACCCAACATCAACATGTGCAAAGATTCCAATGCCCCCAATAGCATAAAGAGGATGGTAATACCATTCATCTCATCCCTTCTCCTCTCCACCAGCCTCAACCTTTCCTCGGCCTCTGCCGCTTCTCTTTGGGTTGCCCTTAGTGACTCCATCATCATCCTTCTCTTTTCTATCATCTTTTCCAATCCACTTTCCCGTCTCTTAACTCGAACAGTTTCCTTTGCTCTCTGTATATTCAAAATCAATATCATAACGAGCAACGTAAATGGTAAAAGCTAATGTTATACACATACAGCGTGTTTAACTTTTTTTAAAAATGTATATACGGTCCATCAAAATCAAATATTGCACACCCCATGTGTACCTGAATGCTGGATTTGTACAATTTTTTGCCAACTGCTAATCTACTCCTTCGAGCCAAGACGAAGCTTTTGTTTTTACTAATTTCTTGTCTAACCTGTAGGAAAAATTAGAGTTCGTAAAATTTCATATTAAAAAAAGAAAAGAAATTCATGGTCTTTTCTTATTTATTTAACCTTGACATTTTAAAGTTGTAATTATAATTATTAATAATATATACCTAAAACTTTTGCCTGTATGTATGACTATAATCATAATCAACTAATATAAAAAAATGAATTATAATTATAATTAATACTTTTATATAACTGCAGTCAAAACTAATCTATAAACAATAAGTTTTGAACACATAATGAATTTAGACCAAAAATCTATCCAATCTAAAATATTTAAGAGTTGAAAATATCATCATATTCTTAAATAATTTTTAATAAAATCAAATTGTTCTTAGAGGGTATGTCAACAAGATGTCGACATTTGAGTTGGGCCTATCATTCTACAGCATAAAATATTTTTAAGGATAAAGTACATATTTAGTACTTAAACTATCATTCTGACTCCATTTTAGTACTTAAACTTTTAATTTTTTAAAATCATACTTAAAGTTTATTTTTTTTCATTTTAGTACCCCTTCAAAATTTAAATTTAAGTTTTGAAAAAAATTGAAAGTTAAAGTATTAAAATATATCAAAATCGATAGTTTAGGTACTAAACACATTAAGTTTTTAACAACAAAATACTAATATGAAATAAAACTAAACCTTAGACATGTTTTTAAGAAAATTAAAAGCTTAGATACTAAAACAGACTAAAACTAATAATTTAGATACTAAATTTATAATTCACTCTATTTTCAAGCATGTATTAAATTCAAATTTATTTATGGGGAATACGTCAATACTAATCAAAAACACCTCCGGCCATGTCGTTTTCAAATAAAAACAAGGAAATGGGAGGTGATACTTAAATCGCATCTGACAAAGGTGTTTTATATTTATAAGGCTATATCGTTTAGAAGAAATATTTATTTATTTTATTTATATATAAGTTTGTTTAAAAGGTTATTTATTGATTTGTTTATAAAAATCGATAAATTTTAAAATAATTATATATAAATTTATTGAAAAGTTTATTTATTGATTTTATATAGGATAAATTTTGAAGTTTAAATCAGGGTTTTAAAACACGGTTCGAAAACGTGATAGCACCTACAAAATAGCGGTTTCGTCGCCGTTCGAGTTACCCGTGACATTGGTAATAGCGCCCGCGACGGCCACAATAACGGTAAACTCGAAATGACCGAAAACACGACCGGAATCACAATTTAAAACCATAGTTTAAATTTAAAAAACTAAGAAACTTCTCATGATAAAAATTTCATCATTTTTTAACGTATAAGTAAATAGGTTTGTAAATATTAAATGAATTAGAATATGTTGACAGATATATAAATCAACATGTAACCTTACTAAATTTATAAATTCTTTTAATAAAATGAAAAATGAATTTGGCTCTACTTGGTCTAAAAAAATCTTAACTAACAAGATCACTATGTAACCTTACTAAAAGTTTACAATTCAATATCGAGTCTTGAATAATAATGTTAAAACTTGGTATTAGTGCCCTTCCTTTGAGAAATTAATGGTTGGTGGTTTACGTGACAAATTTGGAATCACAAAGTACCACCAACCCCCTTCCCAATTCCATTAACCACAGCTAGCGCTGCTTTTTGAGATTATTAGGTTCCATGGTGGGGTTAGGGATGGGCAACGACCAAGAACCTAACAGTAACGGATACGCTCCGGTGGTAACGACTAGCAGAGTAAATGTGGGCATCGCTAGCAGGGAATTAGATGGCGGTTGATAATCATAATAGCATCCGTTAGGTTCGCATTCACGAACACAACTGAAAGTCAATCGCCATTTAAATCCTTGATGGCCAGAGTGACCACAGCATGAGCTGAAGAGACCAAAATCTGAATCAGCAGCTGAATCCAAATTCAAGAGATTTGAGGAATAGTATTCGGAATCCCATCGGTGAATTAGTTATGGGCGAGTGCAGGCCATGACTCGATTTCGAGACAGATGGGACGCCTAGGAGCGCAATTGAGAGTAGCTTTTGGGATGATTAGGCCTAGGTGTTTCCAAAGATTTTTGTTTGGTTTTTTTGACAAAAGAGAAAAGAAGAGGTGTTTAGACTGGAGTTTCAAAGACAAAATCTCACCGGCGACATCTTCAACTGAGACTTTGGAGCAATAGATAGAGCTATGAGATACGTAGAGCCCAGAGGACAGTCGGCTTTTATAGGGAAATTGTTATTTGAGCACCTCTTTTGCCCATCGTGGCCATATCAACAAATCAGGTCTGCTCTTAGCAAAACACTGACGCGGAAATAACAAATCCACCACCCCTTTACATATATTAGATAAACCTCAAGTAATTCGGAGTAGAGTCATTTTATAATTCGGAGGTCGTGGGATTGAGTCTTACGGAGGGTATTTCATAATTCGAAGGTCTTCTACAGAAGTTGCTCTTAACCCTGATGTTGAGGGCAGCCTACTATCTTACCTCCTCCTTATCTCATTACATATGAGAATAAGGGACAACCATTTTATTTTTTCAAGTAAAAAAGAGAAATTATCCTATATTAATTACTTATTATTTTATTTATTTTTTTGATTTAATATTTTTCAATTAAAAATAATAAAATTTTATTTGATTATAATTATTAAATTAAAACATAAATTTTATGATATTCTAATATAAACGTATCTTAAACCTAATGTATATTTTTATTTAAAAATTTTCATCAATTTTTAGTTATAACTCAATAGTTGGAGGGATAACTATTATCTCTAAAAGTCATGAATTTATTTTTTTGATTAATTAGAGGTACTAGATTTAAAATGTATATAAAAGATATTTGAACATTTATTGTATACGAACCAGTGTTTTACATATGAAATTAATATATATATATATATATATATATATATATATATTTTCCTCATGTATTTTACTAAAATTATCACTTCGATCCTGATATATTATTTTTGTTAATTTCTCATGTACTACAATTTTGTTTGCCTGTTTATCCCGTCGTTGCTAATGTTAAAACATTTAAATCTGCGCGACGCCTTTTCCTAAACGTACAGCGTCATAACTGATCGCCAGTGCATAGTCAAATACTCGAACGGATATCGAGCAAATCGAGCGATTACGCGTGCCGATCGCCTCATGTCCGTGCCAATATTCCAATATCGAACGATTGCCTGGTGACCCTACATCGAGGTGTGCAAGTAGGAATATACGTTATTTTATTTTTTAAAAATAAGATAAATTACGAATTTAATATCTAAATTATCAATTTTGATATGTTTAGTATTTAAACTTTTAATTCTTTTTAAGATTATATCTAATTTTTATTTTATTTTATTATATCCACTGTTAAAAACTTAACGATTTTAATATCTAAACTATCAGTTTTTATCCGTTTTAATATCTAAATTAATATTAAATTTTAAATATAAATACTAAAATAAAATAAAAATTAAACTTTGAATATAATTTTGAACATATATGATTTTAACCCATTTAGTAAACTTTAGATATGAAACAAAAACAAAAACTATATTAATTAATCGAGAAGAAACCAAATTTAACCCTAAAAAGTTCAACGAAAAAAATCGATCAAACGGCCAATTACCATAAAATAGAATTATTATTATACAATTACTAATGAAAATGAAGAGTTTAATTATTTTAAAAATTATAAAATAATTTGTCGTGACATGAATAGTAATTGATATAAATCTAAATCTGAAATTAGGAAAATAGTAAAAATTCAAATAAAAAAAGTTAGCATGGCCGCTATATTGTTAATTTCTGAAAACGTTATCGTGGAAAATAATGTAGTGAAGCAGAATTGCACTAATAACAATAAGTCATGATTGTAACTTAATGGATAATGGTCAATCGCAGATTATTATTCTATTATTATTATTACGTTATTATTAATTTTTTTTAAAAAATAAAATCTTTTTAGGGGAAAACTCATTTAAAAAAATTCATGACCGATATACCTGCAATAAACACTATAACTTCTGTTACATTTATAACTACGATAAACACAACGCAACTAAAAATTCAATCACAATGTCATATCTCAATTTAAAGAAAATTAGAATAAAAAAATAAAAGGTTAAAATTTAGAATTTATTTGGTTGAAATTTGGGGACTAAATTGTAAAATCTCGAAGTTGGCAAGCCAATTTAAGAAGTAACAAAAAATTCAGGGATTTAACTCAAATTTTATCATTTTTTACGATGAAAAATAAACTCCCCGATCGATTAACCCTAATTCCCCCCAATTAACAACCCAAATCCCTAACCCCCGTATCATTCATCACCGAATTTCATCGTCGTCCGACTGCCATAGCTGGCGCCATTACCCCTAAAACAACTGTTGCATTGCTTCGATCAAAACCTGACCTCTATCCTGTCGTGAATCGCCGCCGTTCGCTGTGGAAGAGCCAAGAAAAGCCTCGTCAAAACCCCTGTCGCCGAGTATATATTTGTTGATTCCGACCGCCTCCGTCATTGTCTTGCCTCACCGTCACCTCCAGTACATTTATCGGTGTCATGCGAGCAAAACTCGACCGGTTTCGATCCTCGTTGACGTGCCGTCGTCGACCGTCGTTTGGCATAAGTTCGATTTAAGATTTCGGTGAATGTTTGGCTTATGTTGTTGAAATTGACGGTTGATATTGGTAATTTGGAGTGTGTAGAAGACATGGGAGTAATCGGTTGGTGGAAATGAACCATGTCGTCGCTGCATGCACCGACGTACGCGTGGTGGTTTCTAGCCGATCCAGGAAATTTCTGGAACTAGTCCAGGCAGAACCGAACTAGATTAACTCGACCCGAACCATTGACTGGTCAGACCGTTAACTTTGACCGATCGGAATGTTGACTTTGACTGGTCTAACTGTTGACTTTGAATTTGACCGAAAAAGTCAAATTTTTTGAAAAATATAATTTAATTTTTTTCGATGTCCTGAGTCCGAATCTGAAGTTCGTTTTTCCAAATTTGCGCTCAATAAGCCATTTTTCAATATTTTACCTTCAGATTCAATTTGGTTTCTCAATTAAGTTCAGATTCTGTCGTAAATTTGGTTGTTATATATCCGAGACATAATGGGACGTGGAATTAAAGTTCGAGGGCGATTGAATAGAGTTTAAATGGTGGATCGATATGGCATAAAAATCGATGTAATACTCTACTACCTTTTGTATGCTTTCGGAACTCATTGATAGATGGTAAATGCATGAACAAAAATAATTGGTCCATTAGATGTATTAAACTATTATTGGACTTAGACGTAAATTGGAATAAAGATAGAACATTGTATAAGAATCAGACTGCTCGAAAAAGAGAATCTGGAAGATCAGAAATAATTATAAGTTTAGTGATTCAATAATAAATGAATTAATTTCAAGATCCGTAAGCTTTGATAAATATCTTTAAAGGTTAAATATTGGGAATATTTGGATAAGAAATTACAAAAATAACCTTATAGGGTAAAATTATGAAAATGTCCTTTTATTGTAAAAGACCAAGATTTCCCATGATGGTGAAAAATAACCCAGAAAGGACATTCTTGACCAATTATAAAAAAAAGTGCCTATGTTTGGATTGGAAAGAATTAAAGAAATGTCTTCGAGCTTCGTAATAACTATACTAACCTCCAATGATCAAAAGAACAAATACCCTGAAATCTAAAGGAACTAGAATTCTTGAAGCCTAATTTATCGAAAGTAACGCCACTGACAGAATTGAGTGGAATGACGATGATACGCTTAACGTGTAAAAAACACAATGGAGATTAAATTTCTTGATCCACTTGAACCTTGGAATCACATATTAAATTTCTAATATATTTGAATAACCCCAAAAATAAACTTCTACATTTGGAAATTATTAATACGACGATCCCCTTGTTTTGAATGATCATTTGAAGATTATATTACTGAAAGTGCGACACATCACTGAAGTAATAAAATGAGGAATTGTTCTCAAGTTTTGAAATAATTAATGTGTCTAGACCCCAAAATGACTAAAATAACCCCAAATGCTGATGACCTAAATACCTTTATGACTTGGATTAAGTGAATGTCGTTGGATAGACTATGGGAACATCGATGAACCTAAATGATGTACTGCCTCTAAAGGTTATGGAGCACGACCCAAGTCGTCGGACATTATGGGATACCATTACAATGTGGAAATGAAATAAGTACCGACAAAATACCTATTCGTCGTCCTCAAGAACTGATAAAGGACAACTCTGATATTGATCAAATCATCTGGTGTAGTCAGTAATAAGAAGTGAATAATAGTGAAGTATCACGGTCCTAATGATTGACAAGTATCGCAATATTGGGATCTGTCGTTCAATTGGACTCGAAATCCTGATAATTCAATGCATAATCTTGAATACCACAAATCATTACTATATCCTTATTGAGTTAAATTAACGAGAATTCTCCAATAACCAAAATGCTTGGAATACCCATGTTTTTTTGAGTAATGAAATCACTCCTGTCATACTTGAAATCTTAAGTAACTCTGATGCACAAGATTCTGAATGCCTTCCTGATACTTAATTGCCTACGAAAAATATCTGAATATTGTATGATCGTGATTCTAAAATCCTTTTAAATTACAAAAGTTTCATGGCTGGCTACTTAAAAAATACCAAGTATCTCCAAATAATATGTGGATCATCTAGTGTTTTACATGTTTTAAACGTGATTTTCCAAAATCAATGATTTACTGATTTATGAACTATGGTTACTAGAAATATGTTCGTTAGTTATTTGTTTTCATTGTAAAATATGATCGTTCCTGATTTATAGATCATGAAATCTATTGGATTATGAACAATGGTTATGATAGAATTTGCAAAGGCTCGAATTAACAACCGAAAAAATTGCAAGGGGGTGAATTGGCAATAATTTGATTAGGGAGTAAGGAGAGTAAAAGATAGAGAAATTTGGCATAAGGATTTATAGTGGTTCGACTTATAAAGCAAGTCTACTTCCACTACCTAAGCTACTCACTTAGGATTTTCCAAAAAATTCATTAATTTGTTATTTCTTTTTCAAGGATCAAGAGATAACCTTTACACTCCCTATCTTTTTAGTTGGCTAAGATAGAACCAATCCCCTTTTACAAAAGGTAAAAAGAAGTAAACAATAAAACCTCTCAAAGGTAGGGTGTTTA